GAGGCCGGTAGCCAGGGGTGGCGGGGAGTGCACGGCAGCCGGCCGGAAGGCCCGCCCCGGGGCTTGGAGGTGCGCGGTCCTACAGCTCCCGGCCCTGGCAGTGGACGTCGGTCTGCACTGCTACCGTATTCCCGGGAGTGAGGGGGCAGCGGGGGCGGGCAGGGCCGCGGCGAGGGAGGACCAACGTGCTACGGTGGGTAGCAATCGCCAGCCGTTGCCCGAGTGCTGCTGCCAATTGGGTGAATTTGCTGGACAAGTTAAAGATGTTTTGTCTTTCAGGCAGGAAACTATGGTTATAGAAAGCTGTGGTGTTTTGGTGTCCGGTGGGGTTTTGGTAGTGGGGGAGGAGGCTACAGAGGTGGCTCCTGTAAGAGGCTTCAAGAAGCTCTCCTGGCTCCCCATTCGGACCCGCCTCTCGGCAAGGCCGGGCCAATGGCACCTCTGCGAATAACTGTTTAAGAGTGAAAGAAGCACTTGATTGCATCTCTTTGTTCTGTTTGTGTTGGTGAGCAAAGGGAGGTGGGAGGGAGACAACCCTGCGGACACCCTGGTCAGTGAGGAAGGAGAGGGGGAGCTGTGCTGGTGCACTGATTCCCCTGGGGCCCATGGTGGGGTGGCGGCTGAGCCCCTGCAGCCCGTGGAGGACCCCAGGCCGGAGGAGTAGGGACCGAGCCCAAAGCAGACTGTGACTCCGACTGCACTGGAGCAGCCCGTTGCTTAAGGAGCTCAAAGGAACATTGAACATTTTTAAATGATGGTGCTTAAAGTTCTCAGCAATGAAAAAAAGTAAAAAAAAAAGGTAAGAAAAGCAAGAATTAATCGGATTAAAATAGTTTGGTGGATCTTTTTAGCAGCCTCTTAGAAAAACAGCTCTAATAAATCGCTGATGCGCTTCGAGAGCTCTGTAGAGCTTGGCCAGAAGATCTTGCAACAACTCCAAGTATTCTTTTGAAAAGGGCTACATTGAGATTAAAACCCCGCCGCAAGCCAGCAGCAGAGCCAGGAACAAATCACGGTGGTATGAAGTCCCCGTCTGTCCCTGCTAAGCTGTGCCAATCCGCAGCACGGGAAGGTTTCCACATCGTTCCTCACTGTCATGCTCTTGACCCAAACAGGAGGATGAGTGGGTGCTGGCAGCACTTTGATTTCTAGTGGTCAGAACATTAGACATTTCTAAGGGGAGGATGGTCTGATGTGTAAGAGTGACCTGTTGGGGCCATGGACGAGATGCTATGTCCTGGAAGGGCACCTGAACGCCTGCCAGCAGCAGTGGCACATGAAGATGACGCTGATGAGGACATAGCTTATGCTGATGGCCTTGACGGCGTAGATTGTCCTGGGATCGTTGAGTGACTGCCGGCGCTGCTGCTGGTGGAATACACTGAGCTGGAAGCTGGCCACCATCTCTCCCTCCCACCAGCAGAACTAGGTGCCTCAGTTGCTGTCCTGGACCTGCTGGATGTGCAGGTGGTTTCCGTGGTTGTTGAAGACCCGCATGCTCTTGTTGATGCTGACAAGGTAGCGGGAGCGGTAGAGCCGGATGGCGTCCTTGTCCCAGGCCACGGCATGCTCAGGCCAGGCTCCAGGGCACGTGATGATCAGGCCACTTCCAATGGGCTGCTTGTGAAACTATGTGGGGATGCGGGGCACCGAGGGCTTCTTGCCCAGCTTGGCAATGACATTGGAGATGGCCTGCACACCTTTCTTGGGGACCTCCTTCTTCAGGCAAGGGGTCAGGTAGTTTTGGATGGCCACCTCGGGTCTCCAGAGGCGGTCAAGGCACTGGAAACGTGCGGGGACAGCCTTCAAGCCGCAGGACATGACATTGGGCACAGTGGTGCAGTACTGGGGGTGCAGGCTGGCACTCCGCATGTAGCAGAGCCCGATCTGCCGCTGCTCGCCTTTCACCCCACAGCGGTCACATCTGGTCCAGTCCCAGAAGGTGGTGAAGAGGCTGAAGAGCTTCTCTGTGTAGTCATCCTGGACGTGCTGGCCTCTGTCCACAAAAGCCATTGTGATGTGTCTGGTGGGCTGCACGTCTATGCTGTAGCCATAAAAGAAGTCCCCTTTCTTAGTGCCACACAGGTAGTGTCCTGAGTCTGTCACCTGGGCATGGAAGACGATGAGATTGAACATCTGGATACTGAAATGCTTCAGCACGTCGCTACCTGTGTGGATACAGCCCGAATCAACGATCATGGTGCTGGCAAAGTCTGTCAGGCCTCTGGTTTTGTGGCTGCCCGTGTTCTTCTGGAAGTACCAGATGACAGAAGAGACCTCTTTGGGCTTGCAATTGCAAGGAAGCTCAAAGGTTATGTCAGCCAAATACGTGGTGTTGTCAAATATCAGGAAAGCAGGAGAAGCCATTCACTTGAACACATCTCCTTTCTCTTCAATTGCAAAAGCATGGAGAGCGTCTACCAGGCAGAGGAGAACGGCAGCCCTCAACAGCCTGGTCTCCATCACACCGTGTGGGAGGACATTTATTGAATAAGGGACATGTGAACAATCCAGCCTTTCCAGAGAATCTGAGCTGGGATGTACCGGAACTGCTGAAAGCATAAACAACTTCCAGTGCAGGGGGCATGAACATCTTACAGGTGCAGGAGAAGAGACAGCCGCCATTAATGACGCAGTTTTAATTTCTTGAAGAAGATAGGTGTGAACATCTGTGAACGTGACTTGAACATGACTCGCAATGTAGCCAATCAGGTTGGACTATGGGCTGTTATTTGCGATGAAGCAAATCAGTATTTATTGGGTGTGGTCGAGGGTTATAAATTGCACTGGAAACACAGAAATAAGGGTTCATTTGTTAGATCATATTGATCGTGTCAGTGTCCTCACGCAGCTCCTGCAACACTGGGTGGTCTCTGCAGTCAGCAGAACTTACCCAGCCGCAATGCCCTCAGTAGGGATGGCAGGAACCCACACATGGGGTTGGCAGTGCCAGTGCTGGGCAGGGACAATGCACAGACCAGCTCACTCACCAAAGATGGGGTTTGCAAATGACCACCTGCCTGGTGCGCGTGGCTGACAGCAGGGATCCGACAGCGGCTGAAATATCCCAGCCCAGCTGATTATCTCCTGGGAAACACTCTGTCCCACCCGGGGCAGGCAGTTCACCGGGACATGGACTCTAGAACCTTTTGTCTCTGCCAGCTGCTCTGAGCATTGTTGTCCCTGCCCTGGACAACAAGTGAACAGGTTCTTTGTGCAGCACAGCCATGGAGGGAAGATGCAGGGATGGGAAGTGTGGTGGGAACAAGGGAACCACTGCCATCTTCTTGAAAGATTTGTGTGCAGTGAATGTTAATTATTGCTCTGACCCCCCTAAGCTCCACAAAACCAAAGAAGACCCTCCGACAGCAGCTGACCACTGTAGCCCAGAAGAAGAGGTTTCAAATACCATATTTCAAATTTCTACATCCTTTCTGTTGGCTTTCCAAGGGTTTGTGTGATTAAGCCCCTCCCTACAGGAAATGTTTGAGACTCCCCCACTCTGAGTGATCGAGCAAGGCTTTTTGTTCACATCACCCTTGCTTGGGCTGATGGTGGAACCAGCTCTGGAGACTTTAAATGCATCTCTCCTACGGTGAAGGCTATTTGCTCCCCACTGACTCTGGCTGGACCTTCAGCTCAGCTGTTGGCACTTCTTGAGCAGATGCTCCGGTCAGACCATGAGCTGACTGACTGGGAAATTGAACTCAGCTGGTCTAAGAGCCGTCTTCCCATAAGCATTCACACAGCCTCTCCTTTGCTTCATTTCTCCTGGGTCTTCTCACCAAACTGCAGGGATTTTGCCTTTCCCTAAGTGATGAGGATGCAGCAGGCTGCTCCCATCCTTGATGCAGGATGTCAGTGCAGGCCCTGAGCCTTGGGACTGCTGAAAGCACTGTGCCTGTTCCCGCTGACGGACCTGTGCTGGGGTGGTTTGTGGGGAGCTGCGGCCCCGCGGGAAGGACTCACGTTGGAGCAGTTGGTGGAGGGCTGTCTGCCGTGAGAGGGACTCCATGGTGGGGCAGGGGAGGGCTGTGAGGACCTTTCTCTCTGAGGGCAAAGGAGCACTGGAGGCATCTTGTGCTGGACTGGCTGTAACCC